TTCCTTAGCCTGGTGGTGTGGTACATGCCTTTAATCCCAGCACTCAGGAGGTAGAGGTAGGCGGACCTCTGAGTTCTGAGTTCGAGGCCAGCGTGGTCTACAGAGAGAATTCCAAGGCTACACAGAGAAACCCTGTCTTGAAAAAACAATTGAAAAAAAAAGAAAGAAATGAATTTTTGTTTTAAAATTCCTTTTAGTATTATTAGTAGAGTTATAATCTCTTGTCTACTCCAATATTTCTGAACAAAATAGGACATAGGTAGATTAAAATACTCCAGGTTGTGTTTTTATGGCTTGATAAAATTTCAGTCAAGAGACTAGGCCTATATTACCTGCCTTAATGATGATCTGGAACTTGCTCTGAAGTCCACAGAGATCCATCCGAGTGCTGTGATTAAAGGCATGTGCTACCAGTGCCTGGATGCCAAATTTTTTAAAAAATTATCTATTTTTATCTATCTATCTATCTATCTATCTATCTATCTATCTATCTATCTATCTATCTATTTATTGTTTTTGGAGCTGAGGATCGAACCCAGGGCCTTGTGCTTGCAAGCACTCTACCACTGAGCTAAATCCCCAACCCCTCTATTTTTATTTTTATGTATATGTTTTGCTTATATGTATACATGAGTGCCACATGTGTGCAAGGCCCATGAAGTCCAAAAAAGGGTGTAAGATCCCTTGGAACTGGACTCATAGATAGATGGTTGTGAACCACCACGTGGGTGCTGGAAATTGAATCCCTGTCTTCTGCAGGAGGAGCCAGTGTTCTTAACTGCGGAGCCATCTCTCCAGCCCCTAACCTAGGACTTCTAATCTCTTGCCACCACCTCCACAGCACTGATATTACAATAATACACTGCCACATCCAGTTTTATGGCTTGACTTTTTAACAGAATCTGAAAGGTTATTACCACAAAGATTTCACTTCGGAGATTATTTGCATACTTAAGATTTCGTTTATTTCAAGGTTCTAATAAACTCTTTCCCTAGCGTCAAGGCCACTTTTCTGTGCCCAGGCACTCGTGATTTCAAAGCTGTCCTAATAGTCCAGCAGCTTCTATCTAATTCCCTCCCTCCCTCCCTCTACCTATTACTCACCTACCACCTACCAGCTCTCTTCAATCAACACTATATACAGCCAACACTGTTTCTAAGAGTTTTAATCTACTCTGCCTTAAAGACAACGGGATTTCCCCAAGTTCCAGCCCTAAGAAAATTCCTCCCAGAGTCCTGGGGAAGATGCTACATCAGGCATGGGGTTATCTGAGAGAAAGAATCTATGTACACTACGCTCTTTTGACGTTACTTTATTCCTTTATGACCAAACTATCTATACAGCTTCAGTTCCGTCCTGAGTCTTAGTTCCTCTCTGTACCTACTTCTTCTGTCCCCTCACAGCCCTGGGAATAACTGAGTCCTTATGGTTTTGGTCTCATCTTCATCCTCCATCTGTCCTTCCTGGTTCCTTACCCTGGCCCTGATAAACTCTACCAGAGATCTACCTTACCCTCCACAGAATCTCTGTCTTCCTCTCTTTTCTCTGGCCCCACAGTTTTCCTTTGGAATTCCGCTCCAGTCCTCACTGCACCTAATAATGCAGAAAGCCCTACTGTCCTCAGTCAATCTCTCTGCCATGCACACAAAGCTATGCATCTACAGCCTGCTTGTCTCCTAGGCTCAGCGGGGAGTTAGTAACCTAGGAGTTCAGCATGTCTGAGAAGCTGAACTGTTTGACAAATGGTCTAGTAATATATGGGCCCACAAGAAATTCACAGCAAGACGCAGCTGAATATTAAGGCTGTATAACACCAAATATTCCTTCCCATTTGACAGACCCTTGGCCGGTCAAAGTATAGCCTTAATACACAGCTGAAACTCTATGATATATTCTTGTGGCCCGAAAGACTGCCTGATAATTCTTGGTTCTCTAGATCGTAGCCTCAAAGTGGACCCCAGACAGGCAGGATCAGCAACGACTGAATACTATTAATAAGTACTCAGAGAAGGGCTGGCAGGATGGCTCAGTGGGTTAAGATGCTTACTGCCAAGCCTAAAGATCTGAGTTTGATCACTGTGATTCACAGGTGGAAGGCAAGAATCCACCCCAGAAGCTGTCCTCTAAGCTCCACATGTGGAATGCAGCTCGCGCTCTCTCTCTCTGTCTCTGTCTCTCTCTCTCTCTCTCTCTGTCTCTGTCTCTCTCTCTCTGTCTCTGTCTCTCTGTCTCTGTCTCTCTTTATCTCTCTCTCTCTCTCTCTCTCTGTCTCTCTGTCTCTGTCTCTCTCTCTCTCTGTCTCTCTGTGTCTGTTAATCAATCAATCAATCAATGTAATGAAATCTTCAGTCAGTATTCACTGGGCTATAGAAACAACTCAGTGGTTAAGTGTGCTTGTTGCTCTTCCAGGAGTCTGATGTCCTCTTATGGCCTCCATACACAGACACACATAAGCACAATTAAAAACAAGTCATTTAAAAGTACTCAATTAAATACAACATTTAAAAATAAAATTACTCATTTTTGAGGGGGTTACAAACTCAACTCTGTGTGTGTGTGTGTGTGTGTGTAGTGTGTGTGTGTGTGTGAGAGAGAGAGAGAGAGAGAGAGAGAGAGGGGGGGGGGGGGAGGGAGAGGGAGAGGGAGAGGGAGAGGAAGAGGGAGAGGGAGAGGGAGAGGGAGAGGGAGGGGGGGAGAGGGAGAGAGAGACTGGAAGGTTAAAGAACAGCCTCAGGTGTTGGTCTATGCCTTCCACCTGGTCTGAGACAGTCATTCTTTTTTTTTCCTTTTTTCTTTTTTAGTTTTTTGAGACAGGGTTTCTCTGTGTAGTGTTGGTGCCTGTCCTGGATCTTGCTCTGTAGACTAGGCTGGCCTCGAACTCACAGAGATCCAACTACCTCTGCCACCCTAGTGCTGGGATTAAAGGTGACCACTGCCCGGCTGAGAGAGTCACTCTTATTGTTCACTGCTGCATACATACATCAAGTGAGCTGACCCATGAGCTTCTGGCTATTCTCCTGTCTCATTCTTATCTCTCTCAATAAGGATGCACTAGGATTACAGACTCTTAGGATACTGTATCAAGATTTTATGTGAGCCGGGTGGTGGTGGCACACGCCTTTAATCTCAGCACTCAGGAGGCAGAGCCAGGCGGACCTTTGTGAGTTTGAGGCCAACCTGGTCTACAGAGCGAGATCCAGGACAGGCACCAAAACTATACAGAGAAACCCTGTCTCAAAAAAAAAAAAAAAAAAAAAAAGATTTTATGTGGATTCTGGGGATAAGCACTTTATACCCTGAGCCATCTCCCCAGCCAAAAATTAGTATTTTCTAAATTTGGATTTATTATTATGTGTGTCTATATGATGTACATGTATAAGTACAGGCACCTGAGTGTCACAGTGTGTATGACACAGTGCAACTTTTGGGAATAAGTCCTTTCCGTTCACTGTTGGATTTAGGGATTGAGCTTAAAGTATTTATTTATTTATTTTCAGTGATTAGTAGATACTTATACAAGAATAAAAGTCATCCGTGCCAAACTTAATATGAGAGGTTAAATGTTCATTGCAATTTTTCTTCCCGGCTAAGTCTTTCCTTTCTCTCCCTGTCTGTTTTGAAAACATAATATCAGAAGATGAGGGGCCCAAATATTGCCTCAGCTCCTAAAAGTGAGTTCTTGGGAGTGTGTCTGAAATTATGCTAACATTTGCTGATCTTGCTTAGGTCCAATCAGTCAAGATAGGATTTTTGATGTGCGTTTAGCATTTGGGGTCATTGTACTGAAGCAGACACTGCTGTTTAAGCAGGGCCAAGGTACTGGGGAGAGTGGACAGGGGCACAGGCTTATACTTGGAAGCTAGTATCATGGCTCCCCAAGTATTTATGTGTTTATGTGTGCGTCTGTATGTATGTACGATCGTGTGCATGTGGAAGTCCCTAGAAGCCAAGAGGATGTTAAGTTCCCTGGAGTTGGAGTTACAGGTAGTTGTGGGCCACCATGTGCACACTGGAAACCAAATTCAGGTCCTCTGCAAGAGCAACAAGCATTCTTACCCACAGAGCCGTCTCTCCAGCCCCATGCCCTCTTTTTTTTTTTTTTTTCTTTTTTTTTTTAAGAGTTACTCATAGCAAGAATGTTCTAACTAAAAGTAAAGCCAGTTTCTGGGTTGAGAAAGACTACTCTTTAATAAAAAGTAAAATAATTGTATTTCATAATCTAACACTTATTTAAACAAATTTTAAGTTTATTATCTAGAAAAAACTCATTTAAATGAGTAAACACCATTTTCTATAAAAATTCTTCCATTATTTGTACCAATATAATAATTATATCCAGCCGGGCGGTGGTGGCGCACGCCTTTAATCCCAGCACTTGGGAGGCAGAGCCAGGCGGATCTCTGAGTTTGAGGTCGTTCTGGTCTAAAGGCAAGTTCCAGGACAGCCAGAGCTACACAGAGAAACCCTGTCTCATAAATAAATAAACAAACAAATAAACAAACAACAACCCCAAGAAGTCCATAATGTGTATTCCTGTAGAGACAATAAACACACTAGTATACCTTGCATACATGAGAAAAGCATTTTGTGAAAAATCTACCACGAGCTTCAAGTCAGGTCACCTGCATCAATGACAGGCTGTTTCAACACTTTTCAGAAGAGGAAGACACTCCACAGAGGAATTCACTCTCACCTAGATAAAACTTAAATCCCGGCCGGGCGGTGGTGGCGCACGCCTTTAATCCCAGCACTCGGGAGGCAGAGCCAGGCGGATCTCTGTGAGTTCGAGGCCAGCCTGGTCTACAAAGTGAGTTCCAGGAAAGGCGCAAAGCTACACAGAGAAACCCTGTCTCGAAAAACCAAAAAAAAAAAAAAAAAAAAAAAAAACTTAAATCCCACATTTAGACGGCTCGACCCCATCACAGGACACAAGTCCTCGTGCATTACCTGGCAAACCGCTCTTTGTCGCTGCACATCTGTTCATCGTCACATCTGGAAAGGAGGGGTGGGGAAAAGATTAATTCAAATTAATCTCTCATTTACCTTATCTGCACTTATCTAATCCTGCTGGGAAATAAGTAGAAATGTTCAACAAGAAAGAGCCAATGGACGAGCGCCACGAAGCACCACATACCGCTGGCAGCTGACCGAACTTCAGAACCGATGACTATTATTACCTGTCATGTTTCTAAGTTATCGGACACATAAAGATGGTGTGATGAGAACATGAAATGTCTGTGATGGCCCTAAAGTTGGGGATATATTTGGGCTTGCTGTTTGCTTATTTGTTTGTTCCTGATGGTTTCTGATTTTTGTTTTTCTGAGATGGGGTCTCAGGTATGTAGCTCTGGCTAGCCTGGGACTTTGAACTTGCAGAGATCCTTTTGCCTCCGACTCCCAAGTACTGGGGTGAGAACTGTGAATCACTATGCCTGACTCCGTTGTTTTGGTTTTTGTTTTTTAATGTTGTGATGATATTTTGAACAAATAAAATTTGCTTGAAGATCAGAGGACAGAACAAGCCACTAGATTAAGCACAGAGGCCAGGCAGTGGTGGCACACACACCTTTAATCCCAGCAGAGGATTTCTGTGAGTTCAAGGCCACACTGGGTTACAAATTAATCCAATCTAAAAGAGAAACAGAGCCAGGCAGTGCTGACACAGGTCTTTTAATCCCAGCACTAGGAAGCTTGAGACAGGAAGTGATATGGCTGGGCAGACAAAGGAATATAAGGTGGGAGGACTTATAAGAGGACTCACTCTTCCGGGTTTAACGTCTTATGTCATCAGCGGGCGACTACGTGCCAGCCTTAATTATCTGGACAAAGACCCCCCTACCCTCCCTTTTCTGTTTCCTCTCTGCTCTCTGCTCTGCCTCACTCCCCCCGCTCCACCAGGCCTGGCTTCCCCCTCCTATCCCCTCTTCTTTCTAATAAAGCCCATTCTAACTCTGGTAACCATGGCCTGTGACTCTTCAGCCGACCAACCAGCGCCATTCATCCTTTCAGACAGGAACTCGCGCTCTGTCAGGCTGAAGGGTTGGTGAGGTAAGAGGTGGTAGCTGTGACTTGCTCTGCTTCTCTGATCTTTCAGCTTTCACCCTGATATCTGGCTCTGGGTTTTTATTATAAGACCATTTGGGATTTGTACCACAAAATGTGGCTTTAAAAAAAGAAAAAACCCATAGAACAGTGTATGTGTGTCTTTTTCCTGTGTCCATTCTTCTGTGAAAATTAAGGTCATAAATAAGGATATTCAAACAACTCCTTAAGAGCCTGCTTTAAGCTGGGTGGTACATGTGTCTGCAGCTCTACTGGCCCAGATACTTAGGCAACTGAGGGAAGAGGACACTTGAGCAAGGTGAATGGAGGCCAGTCTGAGCAGTATATCAATACTTCACAGGGGGTGAGGAGACAGTCAAAGCCTCCAAGACTCAGGATCCATTCCATAAGAGGGGACAGAAACAATTTTAGAATTATGAGAAGGGGATAGACTGTTGTGGAACACCGTCTTCTGGAAATAACATGACCAATGAATTCTTGAATTTATGGTAGCCTGTAGGTATCAGCGCTGCTTAATGAATAACACTGCACCGCTGCTGCATTAAAACCCACACTGGTGCTGAGACAAAGCAGGCTCTCCCAGGGCTCTGCATCCGGGACCCTGTACCGAGGTTTCTTCCATCTACGACTGCCAGCTTTTTTCATTTACCCGGCCGCCAGACTGCTCTGCACAACACCAGCAGTCCAGATTGGTGAGTTTTCCCTTTCCAATTCCTCACCATTTCCCACGACTGTAGCCTGAGATATATTTCTTGCTGTCGGACCTGGGGCAGGGGGGAGGGGGAAGGTGGAGTGTCCTCAGACTGCATATGCCACGACTCATTCTCTCTTGACAAAGCACTGAATGCTGTCAGACCCCTGGGAGGTCCTCTGGGTACGTATGCCCCCCAGCCTTTACAAAGGGTGTGGTAACTTGTGCTGATTCACAGATCCTTCCCTAACCTCGGGGATGCCTGAGACTGGGGATCCCATTTGTTATTTTATTTTATTTTATTATTTTTTTTTTTTTTTTGGTTTTTCGAGACAGGGTTTCTCTGTGTAGCTTTGCACCTTTCCTGGAACTCACTTGGTAGCCCAGGCTGGCCTTGAACTCACAGAGATCCGCCTGGCTCTGCCTCCCGAGTGCTGGGATTAAAGGCTTCTCTCGGTCCCACTCCTCCTCTAAGAAATGCCTTAAATATCCCTAGATACCAGTAAATATGGCTTCGTAATGGCTGCTTGGATCCCAATATTTCACGGGAATTATTTAACTTCTGCCAGCGAATGGGCAAATGAAAAGAGTTACCTTATCCGCAGGCTTTTTACCTAAGCTCTGAGCCCTCCCATTTATCTATCTATCTATCTATCTATCTATCTATCTATCTATCTATCTATCTATTATGTATACAGTGTTCTGTCTGCACATATCCCTGCAGGGCAGAAGAGGGCACCAGATCTCATTACAGATGGTTGTGAGCCACCATGTGGTTGCTGGGAATTGAACTTAGGACCTTTGGAAGATCAAGCAATGCTCTGAACCTCTCAGCCATCTCCCCAGCCCCCTGAAGCCTCCCTTGCTGAGCCTTTCTCTCCTGAACCTGAGGAAGGAATCTCCGACTCCAGAGACCCTCTGCTTCTCTGACCTCCACTCTGCTCTCTGGAATGGGATGGCCGCTCCTGCCCGACTCTGGCTCCCACCTGCACTCTGTCCCCCGGTCTCGAGCTGCCCTGAGTAGCATGGACAGGTCTCGAAGCAGGCTAGGATGCATGCAAATGAGTTTAGGATCAGGACCCATACTGGGATTGTAATAATCCAGATGGCTCTCTAGTCAGGTATCAGTTTACAACCTGCCTCCTGGCAGGTCTTCCTAAAACTGTCCTCAAACCAACAAACTATCAAAAGCTAAACAAACAAACAAAACAAGACAAAACAAAAAGTAATTCAAGAATACAGAATAAAATCCATCTCATGTCTCCCATAGCTTCCCAACATCAGGGCTAACTTAAGGATCTGGAGAGAGGGCCCCTGACCCCACAGGCAGAAGTCTCAGCTGTGGCATTTAAGGTACCATGGGGGAAATGAGAAAGCCCACGAACAGAATTGCCAAATGCTGGCACACACTATCCTGGCAGCGGCTGCATAGAGGCTTCCTGGTCCCTGTTTTAAATGTGTGGTAGAAAAGGCCACGCGGGCCATCAATGGAGCCCTGTTCAAAGTGCTACCTAGAGAGATGCTGGTCAGCTGACTGCCCTCATGCACCTCATGGCATAGGGACATCAAACAAAGACCTCCAAGGATTGGTGATAGGCTCACGGGGAACCCAGGATGCAGCATGGGGCGATACTTTTCCTTCCTTGTGGACACCGAGCCACTTACTCAGTCCTGAGGGAGTTTTGGGGTCCCACCTCTCCTCGTTCCCTATTGTCGGGGTAGGGGGACAGCCTTACCCACCTCACCAGACCCCACCACTTAACTGTACTTTCAGGGGTACCTAATGGGAAGAGATTTTCCAGCTAAGGTAGGAGCTTTCGTTTCACTTGCTCGCTCCATGTGCCTCACTCCAGACCAGTCAGCAGTGCTTCTCCTCCTCATGCACAGTGACACAAACAGGGCCCTGCTCTCTCTCAAGTTCAGAGGACACCAGGATCCACTGCCTTGTCACCAATTCCAGAAGAATGAGGTTTCACCCCACAAGCTTTTCTCTTCCTGGTTCCCTCTTCTAATTAACTACTCAGCTAACTATTACAGGATCACCATAGAGCTGGAGTACAAGAATCATCAAGTATATACCCAGGTGGTAAGGAGCAGTAACAGTCCAAAGGTATTTACACCCCCCAGACCCCAAAGGGTCTGGGCTCTGCAAAAACAGACATTAATATAATAATCTATTACTGTTAGCACTCAGCAGTTGATCACCTGTGTCTCCTGGATGCTAAACTAATAAAGGAAACAGGTGCCTGAAAATAATCTGTCTCAGACAAGGCTTATCTCAGGTAAAAATTAAAAGCATGTTCCAAATCTCTCTCTCTCTCTCTCTCTCTCTCTCTCTCTCTCTCTCTCTCTCTCTCTCTCTCTCTCTCTCTCTCACACACACACACACACACACACACACACACACACACACACACTAACCAATACAGCACAGTACTAAAACATTACAATATCATGGTCACCAGCGCAAGACTTTAAATTTCCCATGGCTGCTTCTTAATATGTTTCAAAACTCTTCCAAGTTCCATAGAATCCACCTGGACAGGCCAGCGAGCTCCAGAGCCAGCTTGAATTCACCTGGACAGCACCTTGTCAGACGGCTCCAGAGCAGCAGACAACAATCCTCCAGGACACCCTGCTACCTCAGAAGCCTCCTTCCCTACCCACTCCCAAGAGCCAAATGATGCCCACCAAGTCAGGTAGAAGCAGCTTTCCGGAGACACAGCGCCCCTATTCCTGTTCACCCACCTTTTTTTATAATAAGCAAAGAATCTGGAATGTTGGAATTCCTGGCCACTCCCCTAGCTACATGACCGTACATGCGCAGTTCAGTAATCAAGCAAGGGGCCTTACATCTTACATAATACGTGATCGTGTAATTCGCATGCAGCGTGATCATGCAATCTATGTGTATGCATGGTAGCTCCATAAGTCCACATGCGCATGTGCAGGGGAATCCATAAGAAGCGGATCAGACTCCTCCCTCTTCTTCTCCTTCCCACCTTCTCTCTCTGCACGTGTCTTCCACAGGCCTGGTCACACTCCCTTCTGTCCCTCTCTTCTAATAAACTCTGACAGTGGGTTTTGTTGTGTCTCCTGGACTTTCTCGTACGTAACATCGCCACTTAATGAATAACATTGCACCACCGCATTAAAACAAACAGTAGCCACAGAGAAGGTGTTCCTGTAAATAACCACTCACACATGCTACTGGTAAGCAACCCTGATGAAATGCTGAAGTCCCCTCCCCACTTGCGGGCCACAAGAATATATTATAGAGACTCAGCTGTGTATTAAAGCTATACTTTGACTGGCCAAGGGTCTGTCAAAAGGCAAGCCATTTATTATGAATATTTGGTGTTATCCAGCTTTTAATATTTCAGCCCGTCTTCTGCTATGAGATTTTTGTGTACCCCAATACTATAGACCATTTGGCAAACAGCTAAGTTTCTCAGAAGCTGAACCTCTAGGTAACTAACTCCCCCGCTGTGCCGAGGAGACTAACAGGCTACTAGATGTATAGTTTTGTTTACTGTGCAAATCAAGTTCAGATCTTCCATTGCCCCAGAGCAACTCCTTAGATCAAAGGGGTTTCCTCTTACTAGCTGCTTCAAGCTGTGATGCAGATTGACTAGCTGTCAGTACTCCTCCCCCGCCCTGTCAGGAAACTGGTGCAGAGAAAAACAGTGGCAGTTTTATTTTTAGTGACATAGATTTCTTTACCCTATCACCTGTAAGTTTATAGTTTGAGCACATTTATGATAGACTCATAATGTTTTCACCTACCCACAGTAAGGATATATTCCTAGCACATAAATTCCTTATCTGATTTATTCCAGCTCCTATCTAACTCTGCCTTTATTCTCTTCCCCTTTTCGGGTTGCAAATGAAGTTGCCAGGAAGCTTCTGGTGTGGACCTTGCAATTCTTATGCTGTATTGTAAACATGAAGGTGTTGCTGTCTTGGGAAAGATATAGACGAGTCCCTACAGAAGTGGGCAGAATTTTGGACAGAAGAGCTCCGTGTATCTAGATTCATTCCGGCACCACTGGTAGTGTCTCTTCTGGACCCCTGGGAAGTGTAATATTAAGGCTGGTCCTATAATATTATACAAAACACCACCACCACCACCACCCCCCCCCCAAAAAAAAGCAAGTCATGAAAGTAGAAGAGGAACTAGTTGGGAAGAGGAAGGAGATTAGTGGGAAGAGGATGACGGAGGGTAAGGGGTGGGGTATACATTCAAACTGCCTTATATACGTGTATGAAAATGTAAATTGGTACTGAACCCCTGGCATGCAGGATGCAGATGCAAGAGGACTACCAGAGCTAGAGGCAAGCACAGTCCACACAGCAGGTTTCAGGCCATCAAAACCAAGCTTGTGTTTGCAGACCTAGGGCAGATGTGGAGGCTGGAAGACAACCTGTAGGAGCTGGTTCTTTCCTTTCACCACGTGGGTTCCAGAGATGGAAAGGAGGACACCCAGTTGAGCAGCAAGCACCTTGACCGACCATGCCATCTCAACAGCAGCATTCTATGCTTTACTTCTCTGAGACAGCATCTTGTTAGGCAGCTTGGGCTTGATTTGAACTCACAGTGATCATCCTGCTTCAGCCTCTCATGTACCAGAATTATATGCATATGTTATCAAATCCAGCTCAAAACTAATTAATTTAGGGGTTAAGCAGATGGCTCAATGATTAAGAACATATGTTGTTCATGTAGAGAACCCAGGTTCAGTTCTTAGAACCCACATGGCAGTTTACAACTGTCTTTAACTCCAGTTTCACGGGATCTGACATCTTCTGACCTCTTCAGGAACCAGACACACACATGGTGCGATACATACATGTAGGCAAAACATAAAAATTTTCAAGTCTTACCAAAACAGCTTATACAAAAACTTGGGCCAGGTAGTGGTGGCACATGCCTTTAATAAATGCCAGTATTCAGGGGGTAGAGACAGTCAGATCTCTACAAAGTGACTTCTAGAACAGCCAGGGCTACACAGAGAAACCCTGTCTCAAAAAATAAAAAAATTTTTTGGTATGAGAACTAGAATCCAGAGCTTTGAGCTTTCAAAGCAAGGGCTTGACCCTGAGCTGTAACAATGATTTAGCTTTTAAAGCAGCACCATAGTGTTTTCCATTGTGACTTCCACTTTATATTGCCACAGTGTACAACTGTTCAATTCCAATTAGCAATATTTGTTATTTTGGGGGATTTTGCTTGTTTCTTCTCCTTTTGGGGGAGAGGGTTCAAGACAGGGTTTCTCTGTGTATCCCTGGCTGTCCTGGAACTCTGCAGATGAGGCTGGCCTTGAACTCCGCCTGCCTCTGCCTTCAGAGTGCTGGGATTAAAGGCGTGCACCACCACCACCACCACCCCACCACCGGCTTTTGCTTCTTTCTGAGGCAGGATCTCACTATGTGGCCCTGGATACTGGGTTCCCTCTACCCACTGAAGGCTGGTGGACCCAGCCTCCAGACTTAGCTCCTATTTTGTTTTGGTTTTGATAGTGGCCATTGGGACAGATATAAATGACATCTCAGTACAGTTTTGACTTGTATATATCCTAATGAGCAGGGATGTTGATTTTTCATATGCTTGTTGGCCATTTGTATCTTTTTTTTGAGAAATGTCTATCCATGACCTTTGGGCATTCTTTTTTCTCTTTCTTTTTTCGTTTTTTTTTTTTTTAATTTGTTTTTACTGATTTTGAAAGTAATCTATGTTTGGTGTTTACGGAAAAAAATCAACCATTAAATAAAAACAAGACTATTCCCTAAGTCTTCTACTGAAAGCAAAGTTCAATGCCGTCTGCAAGGTCACAAAAAGCTCCTGGCTACTGCCTCCTCTGGGGCAGTTCCTACTACTACCCTCTCATACTGGCAAGGACTTTAATATTCCCAACAATAGCCACATTCATCTCTTATTGCTTCCAGGTCTTTGTACTTCCCTTTCCTTTTCTAGGAAGCCTCTCTAGTTCTGAGCCACTCTGCCAAACCAGCCATCCACTTCCTTTCCTTTTCACCATTTCAGTCTCGAGAAGAAATGTGTCCTCCCCAAAGCCCCTGAGACCCTCCATCTACTATCGGCCCTCAGTTATGTAGCACTAGTCTGACTGTCACTGTCCTACTGACTGTCCTACTGAAGTAATCTCGGTTGTTTGCCTGTTTACTGTCTTCCCAACAAGAGGACCAGTTTGTAAAGAAATAGTCCTTAAATCAAAGGAGTCAGAAAACGCCACTCTCAACACCATGTTCTAGTTTACTGATTACTCAGATTAGAAGGAATGTGAAAACAAATACTGGGAGGCCAAGAACGTTAGGACACAACTTTAGTCACAGAACTGGGAGGCAGAGACAGGCAGATCTCTGGGAGTTTCAGGCCAGGCAGAGCTACACAATCAGATCTATTTAAAACAAAAAACAAATGCAGGACAGGGTGTGGCAGTTTGAGCTTGTAACCCCACTACTGAAAAAAGAGGCTCTGAGTGAGTTTGAGTAAAGCCTGGACTATACAATTATTTCCAGGCTTGCTTGGATTACAAAGTGGGGCTCTGTCAAACAAAATGAGGCTGGTGAGATGTTTCAGTAGATAAACACATCTGCTGCCAAGCCTGCTAATCTGAGTTCAATTCCCAGAACCTATATGGTAGAGGGCGTACCTATTCCTGCAAATTATACTCTGACCTTCACACATTGGCTGTAGCACATGTGTCCACATACACACAAAAGACATAAATGGCCGGGCGGTGGTGGCGCACGCCTTTAATCCCAGCACTCGGGAGGCAGAGCCAGGCGGATCTCTGTGAGTTCGAGGCCAGCCTGGTCTACAGCGCGAGATCCAGAAAAGGCGCAAAGCTACACAGAGAAACCCTGTCTCGAAAAACCAAAAAAAAAAAAAAAAAAAAAAAGACAAAAATGTTTAAAACACACAATCACACACCTACACTGGCAACCTCTCTTAAGGCCACAAATCCCCTCCAGGAAGATGTAGCAACCTGGGAAGAGGAACTAACCCATAGGACAGTTCAAATGCCTGTTCATCTTATCCTTAAATCACCTAGGTTACCATCCCTATGAGGAGAGCATATCAATTCTTCAATTTTACTGACTGCATCTTTGTCTTCCTGTGGGCCCCTAGGCTACTCTCAGAGCACATAGTAACCAACCTATCTGCCTCTTTTTCGGCCTCCAGTCAGGTTGTCTCATCAACTCAGTCGTCAAAATGCTGAGAGGAGAAGGAAGGTCTTTTCCTCCCCTACACTTGTAACAAAGGCATGCCTGTACAGTTACCATCCACTGCCTCTCCGTGGATACTAACTGAATTCGATGAATAAAATTTGGTATTTATTTCTTAGTGTACACACACACAGAGTGCTAGGAATCAAACGCAGGCCTTACGTACATTAAGCACACACTTTACCACTGAGACACACCTCCAGCCCCATTTTAACCACTCTGAAGTATCAAGAGGCACTGTTGCTGACATTTTCGTCTTTATTTCCTGAAACCATCTCCTGTGTAACCCAGACTACGGCAGAACTAACTAAGCCCCCTCCAACCGGCGAGCTTTCTGCCCCATCGTCAAAGTGCTAAAATGACAGGTAGCTACCACTCTGTGCTTGGCTGGTTTTTCATCTTCTTTTATAGACAAGGCCTGGTTAGGGTGACTTCAAACCTGAACCTGTATTCCTCCTGATCTCCTCTCCTTGGGGTTCTGTACCCCACTATGCCCGGTTTATACGGTGCTGGCTAGCGAACCCAAAACTTCATGCATTCTAGGCAACCACTCTACTAAGTTGTATCAAATTATTCTTAACATAAATAAACAAACACTTATTTCTACTTGCATGTGTGAATGCTTGCCACATGTTTGAGTGGCTATGGAAACCAGAAGAGGGCACTGGATTCTTTGGAGCTGTGGTTACAAGCAGCCGTAAGCTGCCCAACGTGGGTTCCAGGAACCAACCTGGTCTTCTGGAAGAGCAGCAAGTGCTCTCTAACAGCTGAGCATCGCTCCAATTCCCACAATTCTTCATCTTAAATACTAAATCACTTCTCAGTACTATGTCAGAATTGTAGTTCATTACATATTCTAGATATCAATCGCTTCTAAGATACATGATCTGCAAGTATTTTCTCCCAATTCTACATGTTACCTCTTCGGGACAAGCAAAAAACTATTAGGAATAAGCTTCACACAATTGGCAATTCAATGACACAATGTTTTACAGTATCTAAAATAATGGTAACAGGGCTAGGGATAACTCAATGGTACAGTGCTTGCCTAGCATCCAGTAGGTCCTATGCTCAACTACTAACAGTGCAAAATGGAATAAACACTATAACACAGTACATTTATAAGCAAGTGACGGTCATTTTTCATAATAAGTGTTATTAACTATACATATGTATAATGATCAGCAACATCAACATGCCAGTATCATTATGCCAACATCATCACAAACATGAATGATGAATTCTTTTCACTCTGAAGTTATAATAGCTATGTCACTCAGTAATTTCTTTTAATAGGTAATAATTTTATGGCTCCCATTATAGTTGTACGAGACCACAGACATATATAGTGATCTGCTAAGGACCAAAATGTTATGTAAGTTTTGTAATGACTACATGCTTTTGTGGAAGCAATAACTCAGGGTAAAAACTATTGGACAGGAACAAAGAGTCTAGTGACCTCCATGCCATTCATACATATGCCATGGTTCATGAGAGCATGGCACTGTAATTAATAATTCTCTAATAAAGCAATTCCCAACAGAGCTGTTGCTACTTTTGCAGCGGGTCTGGGTTCAGCTCCTAGTGTAACAGGGCCCCAGACCTTAGGAGGCCTTCAGACCTTAGCGCAACTGACTCCATGATGGAAGTGCCATTCAGGCCGTGAACTCAGCAGGTAGACAGCACCACCTGCCAAAACTAAAACAAAGGCCTAATCCATCAAAGTCCATAGTTCTGGGAAAGACTCTGAATGTTCTAACCTTGCTTTTTAGCTTCTGTAGTTCAGATTCTGGCTAACTGTTCTTGTTAACTGAAGTATGCCAACCCAGAACATGGTTTTTGTTCCTAAAATCTCACCCTGAGAAGGGCTCAGTGCTACACTGGGATTCCAAACACTCAGTGTAGCTGTCAGCCAGCTAATAAAGACTTTCTATTGTATTAAATCCATGTCCAAGCAATCTTCTCTGGTGGATACCCCATAACACCAGCACTCACATGGTGGCTCACAATCATCTGTAACTCCAGTTCCAGAGGACCTAATGCCCTCTTCTGGCCTCTGTGAGCACCATATGCACGTGGTGCTCCAGCAATACTTGAAGACAAAACATCCAAACACTTAAAAATAAAAATCTAGAAATCTAGAAATAGCAACAAAGTCTTTATAACAAAAAGTAAAATCTTTTCCCTCCTTCACATTTATTAAAATCCACTAAGTGTCAAGAAGAACTATTTTCATTTGCTGTGTTGGTTGGTTTTTGTCAACTTGACACAAACCTAGACATTATCTGAGAAAAGGCAACCTCAAATGAGACAATGTCTCCACCAAAATGGCCTGTGAGCAAACCTGTAGGATATTTTTTTTTTATTAATAATTGATGCAGAGGGCCCACTCACTGTGGGAAGTGCCTCCCCTGGGCAGATAGTCCTGGAAACAAACATCTGATGGGGAAGCAAAGGCATGGAGACAGGACTAGCTGAGATCTCACATCCTGCTCCACAAACAAGAGGCAGAGAATACACTGGGAATGGTGTAAGTCTTTTGAAACCTTAGAGAATGCCCCAGTGGCACACCCTGTCTAACAAGACCACACCTCACCCTTCCCAAACAGGTCTACCAATTGGGGACCAAGTATTCAAACATACAAGCCTATGAGGGAACATTCTCATTCAAACCAGCATACCCTCTTAGTCTCCAAGTTGGAGGCTGGCCTGGATCCTGCAACCCGACAACCCACCCCATCCCCTCCCCTGCACACACACACTTATTATACACACAAAACCTCTAATTTCTGCGACCTAAAAGAGGAGTCAACAGGTACTGGAGTGTGACAGAGTAGAACATTATCAAATTATGCCTTCCAACATCCATATCCTTTTGTAGCCCTCTCCAACAGTGGTGCAGGACATGTATACAGAAGCTGCTCTGGCCAACAAGACATTAGTAAAAGTTGTAAGAGTCACAGAAGCAAAGGTTTGTTAAGTACACTAAGACTTGCCCTTTGTGTTACAGCCATCATGACACTCTGCCCTGTTTGAAGATGAGGCAGTGGGGGTGGGAGGAGGCAGGAACAAGGAATGAGGGGAGAATGGAGAAAGAGAGAGGGGCAACTATGCTGGCTGAATACAACTTTCAACAGACCAGATGGCTGAGCAGTCTTACCATGAATCCAACTCACTGACTTGTGAGAACTAATCAATTAATTCTTTTCTTTTTCCATTTGTGTGTATATGCACGTCTGCATGTGTTACTGGCAAAGGTCTGTGTGGATGCACATGAGTGTGGGTGAGCACGCATGAAGAGGCCAAAAGTTGATGTGGGGAATGAAGCTTCATCTCTCTTCTACCTTACTAGATGAGGCAGAATCATTTCATCACACGCAGGGCTGGCTCATGGGAGGGAAGGGAA